AAAAATTCGGTCCTGGAGGGACCTAGCTCTATACCATGTGAAACTATGAGCAGAGGAATGAATTGACTAAGTCAGAGTTGGGTACAAATACAACCCTAGCAAACTGTACCCCATATGTGCTACCCCACTATGGCCTACAAACATGCATCAGCTATAATAATCTGACAATTCGGACTGACCAACGCCCCCGCCACTTTCCAAATGACCATGAACGAAGCATTCCGCCCACTTTTAGATAAGTGCGTCATCGTTTATCTGGACGACATACTGATTTACAGCCCTGACAGAGCACAGCACTTACAGGACATCGAAGCAGTTTTTAAAATCCTGAGTGAGAACCGCCTACTGACCAAAGCATCTAAGTGTGAGTTTTTACAGGACCGCCTGGAGTTTTTGGGACATGTTATTTCAGCTGCAGGAGTGGAAATAGACCCGAAGAAAATTGCGACGATTCAGGCTTGGCACGCGCCGACCAACTTGACCGAGTTGCAGAGTTTCCTGGGGTTCGTCAACTACGTGCGCCGGTTCGTCCCCGACATGGCGAAGCTGACTGCCCCGTTGACCGACCTGCTGAGGAAGGGGGTTGAGTACACGTGGGGGGAGAAAGAGCAAGCTGCCTTCTCGGCCCTCAAAAATATTTTGTGCTCCCCGCCCGTCCTTCGCATTGCAGATCCCCACCGTCCGTTCGAGCTCGTCACTGACGCAAGTGACATCGCTGTGGGAGCGGTACTGTTGCAGGACTTCGGGAACGGCCTCCAGCCAATCGCGTACGAGTCCCGCAAACTACACCCGCCCGAACGTAACTACCCGATACACGACCGCGAGATGCTAGCGATCGTGCACGCGTTCAAAGTTTGGCGATGTTACCTGACTGGCGCCGACGTGACAGTACGGACAGACCACCGCTCGCTACAGTACCTTCGCGCCCAACCAAATCTCAACCCACGACAGATTCGCTGGTTGGACTATCTCGAGTCCAATTTTCACTACACCGTCACGTACAAAAAAGGAGTATCCAACATCGCCGACGCTCTCACCCGCCCCACCGCCCAACTCCACGCCATCCTACTCGCCCAGACCAACCCACTTTTAACTGGCCTATTTACCCACGGATACTGCACCGACCCATTTTTCACGACCGGAAATTCACAGCAACTGGCAGAAGCAAAAGGAGTCTATTACGTAAAAACAGGCACCAACCGCATTTGGGTACCCGCGTACTCACTACTGAGGGAGCTGCTACTACAGGAGGCACACGACGAGATTACCTCGGGACATTTCGGGGTAGAAAAAACGCGACAGCAACTGCAGCGGTATTATTACTGGCCGGAGCTATTGACCGACGTACAGCAGCACGTGGGCTCGTGCCCGACGTGTCAGGTGATGAAGAGTTCAAGGAAGCGGAAGGCGGGTCAATTGCAGCCGATCCTGTGAAGTAAAGAAAACAGGAATGGAATGACTAAGGAAAGATTGGGTACAAATACAACCCTAGAAACCCTGTACCCCATATGTGCTACCCCACTATAGCCTACAGCAACTATGTCATATAAATCTGACACACCCCCATAGGCAAAGTGGGGGAGAACAAGGGGTCACAAGACCAGTCAAGCAAAGCAAAGCAAGCTCAGGGTGGATCACAAAGTCACCACACAGTCCGAGCACAAGAGTAGGGCCAGAGGCCAGTTCACATGCAGGAGTACAGACATATATATAAAACTAGACAAACAAGAGCAGGCATATATATATGTCACAGTACAAGTGAAGTCAAGAGGAGAGCAAGTGAGGCAAGACAGGCACAAGACCCAGCTGGGTGCAAAAGCGCTGATGGTCACAAGGCGCGAGTGCCTTGGTGAACACATCAGCAGTGTTGGCCTCAGAGGCCACGTACGCAAGTCGCAACTGACCACGCTGCTGCAGCTCACGAGCAAGGAAGTAGCGGAGAGCAATGTGCTTCGTTCTGTGCTCCAAGCGCTGCTCTCGACACAAGGCCAGCATAGCCTTGTTGTCTACGTACAGCACTGGAGGAGAACGAGGCGGCTCTCCAAGGTCAGTCAGCAGGTAGGTGAGCCAGCGAAGCTCCTGTGCAGCCATGGCCCCGGCGTAGATCTCAGCCTCACAACTAGAGCCGAGAACCGAAGACGAGCGAGTAGACCGCCACGAGACAGAGCCGGAACCAAGGCTGAAGGTGTAACCCTGTGACGACCGCTGCGTAGCCTGGTCGTCAGCCCAAGAAGCGTCCGCGTGCCCTGTAAGGACCACTGGACTCCGCCCTCCAAGCACTAGCCCCATGCCCGACGTACTGCACAGGTAGCGCAATACCCTCTTCGCTGCAGCCATGTGCTCCGGTCTGTGTCTCCCAGGAGCAACATAGCGTGCAAGAATGCTCAGAGGGTATGCAAGGTCAGGTCGTGTGCAGGTCATCAGGTACATGAGGCAGCCAACAAGCTCTGCATACGGACCACTCGACTCTACGGACTCATCCGAAGGCAGAGCTGAGAGTGAGTGGCGAGTAGGCAGAGGAGTGGCCTGAGGCGAGGAGTACGTGAAGCCGAAGCGCTGAAGGACCTGCTGCACCATGTGTGACTGAGTCAAGGTAATGGTGCGGCGTGCTCTGTCCCGAGTGATCTGCAAGCCAAGGCCCTCCTAACCGGCTGACCTATCCAAGTTTTGGCAAGCCAAAGGTTGTACGGGCTGGGAGTGTGGCTGATCAGTATGATGAGAATGAGATAGCACACTGCTACTGGGCAACCGTCCCTGAGCCCAAGACATTAGCCGAGGCATTGAGCGGGCCCGACGCTGAGAAGTGGAAGCAGAGTGTGAAGGAGGAGTATGACTCTCTGCTGGAGAATGAGACGTGGGAGCTGTGTGAGCTGCTTCCTGGGAAGAAGGCTATTTCTTCCAAGCTGATCTTCAGGCATAAGTACGGACCAGATGGGGAGCTGACCCGCTACAAGTCAAGACTTGTGGCTAAGGGGTTTCAGCAAACAAAGGGGAAGGATTTTGACGAGATCTTTGCTCCTGTGGGGAAAGGCACAACACTGAAAGTGTCTCTGGCAATGGTTGCAAACCATGGATGGCGGGTGAAGCAGATGGACATTACCACCGCCTTCCTCAATGGGATCATTTTGGAGGAGTTGTACATGTTACAGCCTGAGGGTTTGGATGATGGGAGCGGCAGGGTGTGCAGGCTGAAGAAGGTCATCTATGGCCTGAAGCAGGCTCCTCGTGCATGGGACCACAAGCTAGAGGAGACACTGCTGGCTGGGGGGTTCAAGAAGAGTGAGTGTGACCACAGCATGTTCCTGCTACAAGAGAAGGAACGGTTTCTCATGCTCCTGGTGTATGTGGACGACAACCTGTTCTTCTCTGAGTCGTCTGCAATGATTGAGCGTGTTGAGGAGATGTTGGAGATGCAGCTCAAGTGTTCCAAGATGGGAGATGTGAAGTACTACTTGGGGATGCATGTGGAGAGGGACCTTGACAAGGGAGTGTTGAGGTTGCACCAGAGGAAGTACTCTGAGGGGCTGGCTGAGAAGTATGGGCTGCAAGATGGAGGAAAGCCAGCCACCCCACTTCCTTCAGGGTTCACAGTGGAGCCCTGTGCTGATGAGGAGGTGGTGGGTGAGAGTGACAGGAAGCTGTTTCATTCCATGGTGGGGGCACTCAATTATGCGGCTAACCACACGTGGCCTGACATTGCCTTTGCTACATCCATGCTTGCAAGTGTGGTTTCACGCCCCAGTCATGAGCAGCTGGAAGCGGCCAAGAGGTTGGTCCGCTATGTGAGCACTACGGCATCAGTGGGCTTGGAGTACAGTACTACAGAGGCTGCGGAGGGGTGCAGCTGATTTGGGCAAGGGGGAGATGCTCCTAACCAGCTACACCGACGCCAGCTTCAACTTTGTGAAGACGGATGGCACAAGCCTTGGATGCTATGTGTGCTTGTTTGGAGGTGGTGAAGTGAGCTGGCGCAGCAAGAAGCAGAACGAGGTAGGGCAGTCCTCGTGTGAGACAGAGTACATGGCCCTGCATCATGGGGCAAAGGAAGTGGTGTGGCTGAGGCGTTTGTTGGGGGAGATCGGAGTGTTCCAGAAGGAGCCAACTGTGATTTTCTGTGACAATGAGTTGGCGGTGAAACTAGCGAAGAATGCTTGTCTTCATGGGCTGACCAAACACATCAGGCCTAAGTGGCACTGGGTGAGGAGGCTCTTGGACAAGGAGGTGCGGCTGGAGATTGTGAAGACTCATCAGCAGGCGGCTAACATTCTCACCAAGCGCCTGGCTGAATCGAAGCATTGGAAGGGCATGAAGCTTGCTGAGATGAGTGTGCATTGCATGCATGAGCTATAGCATGTGAGATGATGGTTGGCAGTCGGAGGGGGAGTTTGTTGCGTGATGCAATCATATGCATTCACGTCTGTTTGCCTCCCATCATGTGTTCGCGCGCTGCATGCGTGGTGTGAGCGTGTACAAGAATTCGAGGTTTGTGCGGTTTGGTTTTTCTGTGTGTGTGTGAATGTTATTTGGCTTGAGCAGATATCTGAAGTGACTCCTCTGCTCAAGAGCTTTACGACGAACCAAGTATCACTTCAATCGGAGCATGAACAAGAAATTTACGAACGTTGGAGTTCGTATGCTTTTCATATTTGATTGTGGCAACTGTGGGAAGTTGTGGGGTTGACTCAATATTGGGTACAGACTTTTGGGGGTTGGGAAATTCGTCTTTTCTACTGTAGTTGCTGCCAAATGATTGGGAGAAACCAAACCATGTTGGCAATTGTGGCCAAGTTGGGTTGAGGTGGACTGTGGAGGTTGGGATCGTGACAAGGTCAAAGTTGGGTTGCATATGGGGAAGGGAATTGTGTGGCATAGGGTTTCCTTGGTTGGGGAATCTCTTGGAACCTTCCCTCTTATCCTTCTCATCCCTTCCACCTGGTTTAGTGCTACTCTAACTCTCTTGTGTAGTTATTGTGAACTTGTGTGAGACTCTTGTGATTGAGTTAAGTTCTGCTGAGGCGAAGGGATGTCCCGAGAGCGCTGCTGCTGCTGCCGCTGCGAGCGCTGGCCACCACCACCGCCGCTACGCTGCTGGGTACCACCCCGACCAGATCCACCCCCTCCACCACCACTGCCTCCTCCGCTGCCGCCTCCACCGCCTCCACCTCCGCCGCCTCCACCTCCGCCGCTGCCTCCACCACCACCGCTGGCACCACCACCACCGTCTCCGGCGCTGCTGCCACCACCACCACCACCCCCGCCACTAGTCCCGCCGCCACCCCCACTCCCTCCGCCGCCACCGCCGCCACCGCCACCGCCCCCTCCAGCTCCACCCGCGCCCTTGCCCCCCTTGCCCTTGCTGGAGCGACGTCTCCCACTAGGGGCAGACGCCGCGCCGACCGACTCAAGACCAAGCAGGTCGGCAGCAGCAGCAGAGGCAACAGAGGGCAGCAAGGGGGAAGGAGAGCACCCCTCAAAGATGGGGGTGCGAGGGTCACCACGAGAAGCACCTACAGCGACTATGCTCTTCTCCGCTGCGAGGAGGGCCTTCTCGAGGAGGTCGACGGTGAGGGTGGTGGGACAGACTGCGAGAAAGTGGTCCCTGACGACTCGAAGGGAGTCAGGGAGGCGCGCGACTACGTAGTAGAGAGCGATGTACATGGGGGGGGGGTTCTTAGCGCAGAACTCAGCAGGAAGGGCGGCGCGGTAGCGAGTGTCACTAGTGCGGAGGTGCGTAATGAGGTCAGCGACAGTGGGAAAGGCAGAGAGGTCAGGAAAGAGGTAGGGAAGCATGAGACGGCTCAGTGCAGCAGTGGCAGGGGAGGAGTAGCGCGCAACTACAGCGTCGTACAAGGTCTGAGCACTCTTGTACTGACTGAAGTGCGCACGCTCAGAGGTAGGGAGGTGGCGACGCACAGCAAGACGTGCAGCAGCATCGCGGGTGGCCCACTTAGAGCGGACAGCGGGATCAGCATCAGCAGCAGGAGCAGGAGAGGCGCCAGAGGTGAGATCAAAGAGAGAAAGGTCGTCAGCCCTGTCGCACTGTAAGAACAGCTGCAGGTCGTCTAACCAGACCTCAAAATCAATGGCGCGACCCTCAGCGTCAAAAGCTAGGACACTAGGGGTAGCCATGGCGACGACAGCGACGCAGTGCAAGCAGCAGGGAAAGAGCTCGCAGTGTCAGTGGGACTGTGCTCACCAGGCAGGGCAGGTCGTGTAGGTATGCAGAAAGGCGGCTCGGGTGCTGGGCGGCTCGGCTGCTGGGCGGCTCGGGCGCAGGGCGGCTCGGCTCCCGGGCTGCTCGGCGGCTGGGCGGCTCGGGTGCAGGGCGGCTCGGCTCCCGGGCGGCTCGGCGGCAGGGCGGCTCGGGTCCCGGGCGGCTCGGCGTCGGGCGGCTCGGCTCACGGGCGGTTCGGCTGCTGAGGCGGCTCGGCCAGGAGATGCAGGGGCGGGGCCGTCAGGTGCAGCGGCGGGTTGACCGGTGCAGTGGCGGGCCGGCAGGTGCAGCGGCGGGCCGGCAGGTGTAGTGGCGGGCCGGCAGGTGCAGGCGGCGGGCCGTAGGGTGCAGTGGCGGGCCGTAGGGTGCAGTGGCGGGCCGGCAGGTGCAGCAGCGAGGCCGGCAGGTGCAGCGGCGAGGCCGTCAGAGGCGGCAGGCCGCTGGGTGCAGCGGCGGGCCGGCAGGTGCAGTGGCGGGCCGGCAGGAGAGGCGGCGGAGCCGCGTCAGGGGAGGCGGCAGGGCCGCGTCAGGGGAGGCGGCGGAGCCGCGTCAGGGGAGGCGGCGGTGCCGCGTCAGGGGAGGCGGGGGAGCCGCGTCAGGGGAGGCGGCAGGGCCGCGTCAGGGGAGGCGGTGGGGCCGCGTCAGACAGGCGGCGGGGCCGCGTCAGGAGAGGCGGCGGAGCCGCGTCAGGGGAGGCGGCGGGGCCGCGTCAGGGGAGGCGGCGGAGCCGCGTCAGGGTAGGCGGCGGGGCCGCGTCAAACAGGCGGCGGGGCCGCGATCAGGAGAGGTGGCGGGGCCGCGTCTGAGGGACAGCGGGGCCGCGAGGGAAAAGGCGACCCGAGGGGGGTCGCTAAAAAAAAAGGCGCGCCTCGGGGCGCGCTTCGGTGGGCCCTAAAAAAAACGGTCCTAAGGTAGGACCCGCTCTATACCATGTGAAGTAAAGAAAACAGGAATGGAATGACTAAGGAAAGATTGGGTACAAATACAACCCTAGAAACCCTGTACCCCATATGTGCTACCCCACTATAGCCTACAGCAACTATGTCATATAAATCTGACAGATCCCACCGCCCGAACGCGCCTGGCAGCAAGTAACCATGGACTTCGTCACAGGGTTACCTTCGAACCCTGGGGGTAACGACGCGGTGATGGTCGTCGTGGATAGGCTGACGAAGATGGCACACTTCGCTGCGTGCAAAAAGTCGATCTCAGCCGAGGAGACCGCTCGCCTGTTCATCGCAGCCGTTGTTCGCCTGCACGAGATACCAGCAGCAATTATCAGCGACAGGGACACGAAGTTTACCAGCAACTTCTGGAAGAACCTCTGGGAGCAGTTCGGGACCAGGCTACAGTTCAGTTCGTCGTACCACCCCGAGACCGACGGCCAAACGGAGCGGACGAATCAGACGATGGAGCAGTTGATTCGTGCCACGTGCGACGACCCCACAACCTGGGAGCAGCAGCTGCCGCTGATCGAGTTCGCGTACAACAACGCCACATCAGCCACGACGCAGCAGTCCCCGTTCTACCTGAACTATGGGCAAAACCCCACAGTGCCCATGACGCCGAGTCCGGACAACCCAACGCCACGTGCACAACAATTTGCCGAAATCCTGCAAGCTGCCCGCGCCAGAGCCGCCGAAGCAATAAAAAAGGCCAACGTCATCGCTAAGCGCAACGCTGATCGCCACCGCCGTCCTGTCACGTACCAATTTGGAGATTACGTACTGCTCGACACGCAAAATCTGCGACTGCCCGACGTACCCAAATTACGACCGCGCTACTGTGGACCATTCCAAATCAGTCACATGATCACACCCGTCACCGCGCACCTACTGTTGCCAACCGACTGGTACATCAGCCCTTCGTTCCACGTCAGCCTACTTCGCCCATACATCCCGACCACAAGTCAACTGCCGCGTCACCGGCCACAATCAATGACTCGCCCTGCATCAGAGCCGATCATCGAGCCCGAAAGAATTCTGAGCCATCGGATCCGCCACCCCACGGGAATCAGGAGGATTGAATTCCTCGTTCGCTGGAAAGACCGCACGCCAACTGAAGATAGCTGGGTGCCCCTGAGCAACATCGAAAATCACCCTGCCCTGCAAGTGTACCTGAGGAGCCGGGGATTCCGCGATATACACGCACTCGCGTAGCGGAGGGGGCTTCTTAAGGGGGGGGGTAGTGTAAGGAATTTTCTCGGCATTCCTTACGGAGCCGACTACATTGCGTACAGCAACAGCCGATTGTTCGCCCGTTACTGCTAACGGAACTTCGCCGACTTCGCGCGCACTGTTTTGCCAAACCTCGCACTGCTGGCATGGCCGTATCGGCCTACGCTTCGGGACTAGCCCGAGCCTCGCTCCAGCGTAGCACTAGCAAGCTCGCACGCACCGCGTTACCGTTTTGCATGTTTCGCGTATAAATGTTCGCTCATGCCTTCGCTCACATTTTGTACTCGTTTGACACCTTAGTGCAATTCTCGCTACCTCGATTCATTGCACCCGTAACACTTCTAAAAAAAACACACAAAAGCATGCAAAGTTGTACGGAAGAGGCGATCACAACCCATATTGCACCACCCCCACACCCCAAAACAGACACAAACGACAGCAGTTATGAATGCTTTGAAGCTACTGCTAAAATGCATCATTGATGCAACTGAGATTGATCTGGTATGGAAGAGGCAAGCAAAGCTGCCCCACCAACAATCACAACCCCAATTGCATACACAAGGCACTTAGCAGAACTCACCTAGAAACAGACACAAACAACAATACATACATGTTCACACACTCACACGCATACAGGCTCACACATATGCACACAAAAGATGCAGAAACATACAGCTACTAAGCATGCAATCATAGCCAAAGAAGTTCAGCCATTAATAAACCATCACTAACTTGTCCCCCATTACCCTCCCTCCCCCCCTCCCTGATCTCCCTTCCCTCCCCCCCCCCCCCCCCCCCACACCCCCCCGTTTTTCTCCGCAAGAACAATGATTGCAGCTGGAACTTCCTGCACATGAACGACAAAAAAAAAAAAAAAAAAAAAAAAAAACAAGAGGCGACGAAATCGTCTTAGGGTTGCGAAGCGTTTTGCGTATTTACATACATTTGTACAACTAAATCTGTACATGATGCTGTAGTATGACACTAAGATGTACTTCATCTCACTTGGAGAGTAATGAAAAATCGCATCTGCAGGAGTCGAACCGGAGACTTTTCGATTTCCCTTCCAATTTCAATCATCTGCAACAGTACTGATGTTGTGCATGAACAAATAATTTAATTGGAGTTGAAGGTTTGTGACGAATCAGAAACTGCTCTAGGGTTTGTTTGTTCCTTTTTTTTTCTCGCTGCTCCTTCTGGATAGATGAGCTCCCCGCCAGACACGCTCCACCTACTAGTGCAAGGTAAGAAAATCAAATCAAACAAAATCAGATCGTTACAAGCTAGACTAACATTTCTCACTCTCATATCGTAGTCGTTTAACATAGTATTGGCCGCAGGTTTTTTAAGGCTTAGGTTCTAGGATTGTTGTAGATACTTTAGCTTTAGGTCTTTCACTAGATTGCATCCATGCTTCAAGTATTCATCGCCTCTTTCCTGTGTTGCATGCTTACAGTCTCGTATTTGCATATTTCATTGACGTTTTTACTTCCTTTCATCTTATGTTTTTGTTAGGTCGATTTGAACGCCAACCTTCTTTGCCTTGATAGCCAGATTGAAATTAACTCGACCCGAGCAGCATGTCGTTCTCTCTCTCTCTCGTTCTATCTCTCTCGTTCTCTCGTTCTCTCTCTCTTACATTCTCGTTCTATCTCTCTCGTGCTCTTGTTCTCTCTCTCTCTATGTCTCTCTCCCTCTTTCTTTCTCTCTCGTTCTCGTTCTATCTCTCTCGTTCGCGCTCTCTCGTTCTCGTTCTCTCTCTCTCGTTCTCGCTCTCTCTCTCTCTCTCTCTCTCTCTCTCTCTCTCTCTCTCTCTCTCTCTCTCTCTCTCTCTCTCTCTCTCTCTCTCTCTCTCTCTCTCTCTCTCTCTCTCTTTATCTCTTTCTCGTTCTCTCTTTTCCGTTCTGTCTCTCTCGTTCTCTCGTTCTCGTTCTCTCGTTGTCGTATTCCCTCTGTCGTTCTCTCACTCTCGTTCTCTCTCTGTCGTTCTATCACTCTCGTTCTCTCTCTCTCGTACTCTCTCTCTCTCTCTCGTTCTCTCTCTTTCGTTCTCTCTCACTTTCTATCACTCTCGTTTCAATCAAAGCTACCGTTTCTGGTTGCATCCAAACTACCGTTTTTTTTTGTTCATGTAGTTCTCTCCCGCCCACTTTCTATAGCTCTTCGTTACCCTTTCTTTATAGGCAGCAGCAAATTAGTGTGTGGTGTGTAAGTCTTGTGTTCTTGATTCCAACTTTATTCACTGATGTTCAAATGTGTATCTGCTGATTCTTACAAATCCGTTTTCATCCGTCGTTTTCAATCTCCAAATCGTTTTCATCGGTTATTTCAGTCTCTTTTTTTTTCTTCCCATTCTATTTCCCATTTCTCTCCCTGTTTTCTCCTCAGAGACTTTGCTGTATCCTTCAAGAAGTCCACTTTCATTTGGAATATGAAACTATACCAGTGGCTGATGTTCTGTAGGATAATTGTTTTGTGTTGGTATATTTCCTTGCATGTTTCTGTTTATTTCGTTCGAGTGTTCAGGTTTGTGTGCGTATGCTTGTGGTTGTGTTTGCATGTTTGTATGTGTGCATGTGCATTCATATCCATGTATGGTTGCATTAACAATGCATGTCTGTGATTTTTAAAAAGAAAGCTCAGATCTATCATTTCACATAAGGTTCATTGGCGCACTCAGTGACTCGTGTGCGACCACTTCGAACTGGATTTGATAGAGTTGACTTCTTTTTTAGATTTCACAAAGTGTGTTGTTTCATGTGATTGTTGATTATTCAAAATCTATGCTATTGACCTCCCCCCCATGCTAGGCAGGGGATGGCGGTAGCTTAGTTTTTGGGTCGTTAACTGTCACGCATTTTATTGTGTGCATGCATGTGCATCATGATTCATGACATCACACTATTAAACATTATGCATCATATAGCATTATTTATGCATCATGCATCTATTTATCATTACCACAGCACCATTTAATAGTAGCACATACTAATATATAACAGTACAGCATATATTCACCAAACCACTGACCAGAAAAACATATGATTTAATATTTTGTGAACAACATTTAAAATTCTTCAGCATGCACACGTGTGGGAAGGGTTTTGTAGTTTACGGATTTTATTTTCATGTTCTATTAAAAATGATAAACATGAAAATAAAATCTTGCAAAATCGATCGTAAAGGGTTGCTTCGCAACCCAAAAACAACAACAACACACAACAGCAAATGCAGCTCTCACTCCCTGCACAACGACACACAAGCAAACAAGCACAGATACATACAGATAGCGTAATAAAACACGCAACCATCACAAATGAAATTCAGAAATGCAAAAAAAATCAGCAATAGTCCCCCTTAACCCTCCCTACACCCCTCCGTCCCTCCTTCCCTCATCTCCCTCCCACTCCCTCACTCATCTCCCTTCTCAGCTCACACGCCCTGCACAAAGCGAAAACAGAGAAGTTCACACATACACGCCCTGCACAAAGCAAAAAGAGAGAAGCCAACCACACACGCCATGCACAAAGCAAAAAAACAGAGAAGTCAACAAACACACGCCCTACACAAAGCAAAAAACCAGAGAAATCAACACACACACACGCCCTGCACAGAGCAAAGAGAAGTCAACACACACATGCCCCTCACAAAGCAAAAACAGAGAAATCAACACACAAACGCCCTGCACAAAGCAAAAACAGGGAAAGCAACAACTCACCTTGCACAAAATCAGAGAATGTTTACACACACACTGTGTACAAGAATGCAAAATTTAGATCATGCAACTCACCTGCCCTTCCAGGAGGAGGTCAAGCAGGAAATAAAAATCACCCTCCCTGCACAAGAAAGCAAAAAACAAATAGTACACCTCACATGCATTGCACAAGGCGTCAGTGCATAGCAGAAAAGGCGCCAGCGCACTCTCATGCGCACTCTCACGCGCTCCCTAACCGACTCTCTCACGCGCAGTCTCACGCGCGCACTCTCTCGCGCACTCTCACGCACACTCTCACGCACACTCTCACGCGCGCACTCTTACTCACTCTCTCACGCGCACTGTCACAAGCTCTCTCACGCGCACTTTCACGCGCTCCCTCACGCGCTCCCTCACGCGCTCCCTCACGCGCTCTCACACGCTCTCTCACGCGCTCTGTCACGCGCTCTGTCACGCGCACTCTCACACGCACTCTCACACGCGCACTCTTACGCGCTCTCTCACGCGCACTGTCACAAGCTCTCACGCGCACTTTCACGCGCTCCCTCACGCGCTCTCACACGCTCTCTCACGGGCACTCTCACGCGCTCTCTCACGCGCACCCTCACGCGCGCACTCTCTCGCGCACTCTCACGCACTCTCTCATGCGCGCACTCATACGCACTCTCTCACGAGCACTATCACAAGCTCTCTGACGCGCACTTTCACGCGCTCCCTCACGGGCTCTCACACGCTCTCTCACGCACTCTGTCACGCGCTCGCGCACTCTCACACGCACTCTCACACGCGCACTCTTACGCGCTCTCTCACGCGCACTGTCACAAGCTCTCACGCGCACTTTCACGCGCTCCCTCACGCGCTCTCACACGCTCTCTCACGGGCACTCTCACGCGCTCTCTCACGCGCACCCTCACGCGTGCACTCTCTCGCGCACTCTCACGCACACTCTCATGCGCGCACTCATACGCACTCTCTCACGCGCACTGTCACAAGCTCTCTGACGCGCACTTTCACGCGCTCCCTCACGCGCTCTCACACGCTCTCTCACGCGCTCTCTCACGCGCTCTCTCGCGCGCACTCACGCGCACTCTCACGCGCACTCTCACGCGCTCTCTCACGCACTCTCTCCTGCGCTCTCTCCTGCGCTCTCTCCTGCGCGTTCGCTCCCGTGCACACGCTCTCCCTCGCGCTCCATCTCAACCCTTCTTGAAATGAAAGTGCAATGCAAGAAGAGACCAATGGACACACAGAGATTACGAAGGGAGCAGAAAATGAAGGAAATTCCAGCGGGCGGTTGGAGGGGGGATGGAAGGACCGGGAACGCACCTGATAATTACGTTGTCTCAGAAAACAACCCGCGCGCAAGTGCACCAACCCGCGCTGGTGCACCAACCCGCGCTGGTGCACCAACCCGCGCAAGTGCACCAACCCGCGCTGGCGCACCAACCCGCGCAAGTGCACCAACCCGCGCTGGCGCACCAACCCGCTCTCGCGAGACGGCGGGGAGGAGGAAGAGGCGACGGCGGGGAAGAGGGAGAGGCGACGGCGGGGAGGAGGGAGAGGCGACGGCGGGGAGGAGGGAGAGGCGACGGCGGGGAGGAGGGAGAGGCGACGGCAGGGAGGAGGGAGAGGCGACGGCGGGGAGGAGGGAGAGACGACGGCGGGGAGGAGGGAGAGGCGACGGCGGGGAGGAGGGAGAGGCGACGGCGGGGAGGAGGGAGAGGCGACGGCGGGGAGGAGGGAGAGGCGACGGCGGGGAGGAGGGAGAGACGACGGCGGGGAGGAGAGAGAGGCGACGGCGGGGAGGAGGGAGAGGCGACGGCGGGGAGGAGGGAGAGACGACGGCGGGGAGGAGGGAGAGGCGACGGCGGGGAGGAGGGAGAGGCGACGGCGGGGAGGAGGAGAGGCGACGGCGGGGAGGAGGGAGAGGCGACGGCGGGGAGGAGGAGAGGCGACGGCGGGGAGGAGGGAGAGGCGACGGCGGGGAGGGAGGGCGAGGCGACGGCGGGGAGGAGGGAGAGGCGACGGTGGGATAGGAAGAAGCGGCGACGGCGGCTGGGAAGGAGGGAGAGGCGATGGTGGGATTGGAGGGAGAGGCGACTGCGGATTGGGAGGAAAACGCAAGATGAGTCTCTCATTCAAGAGACTCTGGAGCAGGAGCAACGCAGTACAGAGTCGAGAATCTGAGAAGGGAAGAACGACGAAGGGGAGGAACAGGGGTGTTCTGTGGGTGGTTGTAAGGAAATTCCCCTTTCTTTACTTCGCGTCCCTGCTCAACGCGTACATCACTGTAGCACCTCAGTCAGCACCGTTACCACTCGCGACCATCGCATCATTCATCATCCCGCCCTTTTCGCACATCGCATCCCGACCTCACGGCTCGGCTGGTAACCCGCGCTCCGGGCCTACGCTTCGACACTTTCCAAACCTCAGTCCCAGGCTCGTCGCGCGACCATTACCGTTACCACTATAGTTTCGCTATATAATGTTCGCTCATGCCTTCGCTCAATTGTATTCTTGCTTCGATAGTGCAATTCTCGTTCGTTCACTCAATTGCACTCGTAACACTTGGTATTCAGAGCCTACGATCTCATCTCGGACCGCATCCACACCTTCGCTTCCCACTATCTCAATTTTTGGGGGGGGTAGACGTCTCTCAGCGACACAGCACCGCCGCTCGTAGTGCTCTCTCGAAAGCACGCACGGCCACGACCGAGGCTCTCGCTGAGCTTGCCCGACACCCCCGCCATGGCCGATTTCAATCTCGCCACGTTGACGCAGGAGCAACTCGATCGTCTCGTGCGTCAATTGGAGGATTCGGCGCTCGAAATCGCGACTCTCACGGCGGAACGTGACTCCGCCCGTCAACAGTCAACGGTGAACGTACCGACGACATCACACGCACAAACCAATGCATCCGCACATTTGGAGGAGCCCATCGTCATCTCATCCGGCACACCAACGCAACACAACAGCACGGGACAGCGCTCAGGCGCAGCCAGTGACGGCGCAGCCCAACCGATGCCCGGCATGGGAGGGAACAGGAGCGCATTAAGCCCACGGGAGCCCCGAGAAGCCTGTCGGCACGTGGAGTTTGCGGCGACAAGTGGCGAGAACGCCATGATGGCCCCAATGCCACTCAAGCCGCAACGCCCGCCCTGCTTCGACCCAAGCCAACGCGGCGGCCCGACAGTTCAATCGTGGGTCTTCACGATGAATGTGTTTTTCGACGCCAACTACGTCGAGTCGGACGCCGCCAAGATCCGGTATGCGGCTTCACTACTCAGGGGCCCCGCCATGGACTGGTGGCGAGTCATTGTGACGTCGCCGCGCGCCTACGAGCCACCGTCGCACGAGGAAGGGCCCTCGGGTCCAGCTGTTATCTGGAGTTCGTTCTGCGAAACCGCTCAATACAGCACGTGGGATGCGTGGTGCGCAGGACTTCGGGCGCGCTTTGAGCCGATCGCGGCCTCGATTTCGGCGCGTCAGAAACTGCGCACTTGGCGCCAGCTCGGGTCAGTTCAAGACTACACCAGCGGGTTTCTCGCACTTTGCGAACAGGTCGGCTACATGCACGAGGCAGAGCGGGTGGACCGTTACGTCGGAGGGCTGAAGCCGGACATCTCGCACGAGATAATGCTACGCGGACTCTCGAATTTCAACGAGATCCTCGCGCTCGCCGAGAAAATCGATATCCTACGCCGACCGAGACCAGGGTCCTATTACGGACATCGTCCTCGGGGACCGACCGAGCACGCCACTGTACATACCGAGGCAGGGAAACGCCAGCAGTCAGTAGAAGTTGGGCCAACTACTGACGAGACTGCCTGCTTGCCCAACCACACCGACCCTCACCGAGTCACAGTACCGATTCACGCCATCGATCGGGCTCGGATGAATAAGGAGGGTACAGCGACGGATTGCCCGGTACTGATCTACGGGAAAATACAGGGAGCAGCAGTGAAGATCTTCATTGACGGAGGAGCAAGCCACAGCTTAGTTAATACCGCAACCGCACGAAAATTACAGTTAACGCTTAACCGATGTTTACCTGAGATAGATGCACGCTTAGTCGACGGCACGCCCCTGGCCATACGGGAAAAGGTGGAGCGCGTAAAAGTCCGCTGCGGGGGGAACTTCGGGTTTACACAGGAAATGCTCGCGACGACACTGGATGGGCACGACATTTTATTGGGACGTGATTGGCTGCGACGGTACAACCCACGGATCGACTGGACGACGGGGAGCTGCACAGTGCGAAGTAGTGGTAATTGGGTCGTTCTACCTCGCTGGCAGACACCCAAATCTTCGACGGTCCAGGTCAACGCCATCACGATGAAACGGGCTGTCGCTGCTGGAGCTGACGTGTACGCAGTGGATATCGCACTCGTAGAAAAAGATGAGCAGCTGAGTGATTTGGAGAAACTGCTGGCAACTGTACCGACCGAACTACAGGCACTACTGAAACAGTTCCCGGGGATATTTCCGGATGATTTACCACAGGGACTTCCACCTCAGCGGGCGCACGACCATAGGATCGAGTTAGAACCGGGGGCACAGCCAACTGTACAGCGGCAATTTCGACTGACACAGCCCGAGCTCGACGAGTTAAGGAAGCAGTTAGATTACCTGTTAGAGAAGCAGTTTATCCGTCCGAGCTCGTCACCGTTCGCCGCACCGATACTGTTCACACCGAAAAAAGACGGAGGGTTCCGCATGTGCATCGAGTACCGAGCGCTTAACAGGGTAACAGTCAAATCGCGATACCCCATCCCCCGCGCCGACGAACTGATCGACCAACTGCGAACAGCACGAGTCTTTTCGAAAATAGATTTACGGGGAGGTTACCATCAGATTCGGGTCGAACCATCGGACTGCGCCAAAACAGCATTTAGGACTAGGTACGGGTCATTCGAGTATACAGTAATGCCATTCGGGCTGACGAACGCGCCCGCGACATTTCAGATGACCATGAACGAGGCGTTTAGACCACTTTTAGATAAATGCGTGATAGTTTACCTGGACGATATTCTAGTTTACAGCCGGGATAAGCAGCAGCACTTAGTGGATCTTGAAGCAGTTTTTAAGGTTTTGGAGGAACATCGGCTACTCACCAAGGGCTCCAAGTGCGAGTTTTTTCGGGACAGGCTAGAGTTTTTGGGTCACGTCATTTCGGAGGCTGGGGTTGAGATTGACCCAAAGAAGCTGGATACGGTAAAAGCGTGGCGCCCCCCGACGAACATCACGGAACTGCAGAGTTTTAAGGTTTTGTTAATTACGTTCGACGGTTCGTGCCCGACATGGCACGTTTAACAGCCCCACTCACTGATTTACTGCGTAAGGGGGTCGCTTTTACGTGGGGGGAGAAAGAGCATGCTGCCTTCTCTGCCCTGAAAAACGTTCTCTGTTCACCACCCGTTCTACGCATCGCTGATCCCCACCGCCCTTTCGAAGTGGTTACCGACGCAAGTGACATCGCCATCGGAGCTGTACTGTTACAGGACTTCGGCGACGGCCTCCAACCCATCGCCTACGAATCACGCAAACTACATCCGCCTGAGCGAAATTACCCGATACACGACCGCGAAATGCTTGCGATCGTGCACGCATTCAAAGTATGGCGCTGCTACTTGACCGGCGCAGACGTGACAGTACGGACAGACCATCGATCTCTACAGTATCTCCGCGCACAGCCCCACCTCAACCCACGACAGATTCGATGGCTCGATTTCCTCGAGTCGATCTTTCACTATACAGTCACATACAAAAAAGGAGCCTCGAATATCGCCGACGCACTGACCCGCCCCACTGCCCAGATCCACGCGATACTACTCGCCCAGACAGCCCGCTACTGACAGGCCTATTTACCCACGGATATCAAACAGACCCGTTCTTTACAGGAGGCAACTCATGTGAAACAAGTGAACAGGAATGTGTGAACTATGAATGAAGGCAGTACAAATATGAAACCCTAACTGGGTTGTACCCCCTATGGGATACCCCACTACAGCCTACACAATATTATAAGCTATAGATATGTTCTGACACACCCCCATAGGCAAAGTGGGGGAGAACAAGGGGTCACAAGACCAGTCAAGCAAAGCAAAGCAAAGCAAGCTCGGGGTGGATCACAAAGTCACCACACAGTCCGAGCACAAGAGCAGGGCCAGAGGCTAGTTCACATGCAGGAGTACAGACATATATATATATAAAACTAGACAAGCAAGAGCAGGTATATATATATATGTCACAGTACAAGTATTGTCAAGAGGAGAGCAAGTGAGGCAAGACAGGCACAAGACCCAGCTGGGTGCAGAGGCGCTGATGGTCACAAGGCGCGAGTGCCTTGGTGAACACATCAGCAGTGTTGGCCTCAGAGGCCACGTACGCAAGCCGCAACTGTCCACGCTGCAGCAGCTCACGAGCAAGGAAGTAGCGAAGAGCAATGTGCTTCGTTCTGTGCTCCAGACGCTGCTCTCGACACAAGGCCAGCATGGCCTTGTTGTCTACGTACAGCACTGGAGGAGAACGAGGCGGCTCTCCAAGGTCAGTCAGCAGGTAGGTGAGCCAGCGAAGCTCCTGTGCAGCCATGGCCCCAGCGTAGATCTCAGCCTCACAACTGGAGCTGAGAACCGAAGACGAGCGAGTAGCCCGCCAGAAACAGAGCCGGAACCAAGACTGAAGGTGTAACCCTGTGACGACCGCTGCGTAGCCTGGTCGTCAGCCCAAGAAGCGTCCGCGTGCCCTGTAAGGACCACAGGACTGCGCCCTCCAAGCACTAGCCCCATGCCCGACGTACTGCACAGGTAGCGCAACACCCTCTTCGCTGCAGCCATGTGCTCTGGTCGGTGTCTCCCAGGAGCAACATAGCGTGCAAGAATGCTCAGAGGGTATGCAAGGCCAGGTCGTGTGCAGGTCATCAGGTACATGAGGCAGCCAACAAGCTCTGGGTACGGGCCACTCGACTCTACGGACTCATCCGAAGGCAGAGCTGAGAGCGAGTGGCGAGTAGACAGAGGAGTGGCCTGAGGCGAGGAGTACGTGAAGCCGAAGCGCTGAAGGACCTGCTGCACCATGTGTGACTGAGTCAAGGTAATGGTGCGGCGTGCTCTGTCTCGAGTGATCTGCAAGCCAAGGT